ATGGGGCATTGACTTCAATTTGTGAATGTGATTCTTCAGTTTTTGGACATTATTTAAGTCTCCTCTAAGAGGCTTCATAGTGTCTCTGTCTGCACAATAAAGTGGCCAAAGAAATGTCAAGGAAGCTAGTCAGAGCAAAGGATGTCTCCCTTTATGTTCTTCAAAAATATAAACAGCAACCCTAGGAACCCCTTCAGTGTAAAGGCACAAACCATGCCTGCAATAGAGATAAACCAAAAAAGGAGGGGGCTTCTCTCTCACTTGTTACTATGAAGCAAAAGACTTCTCGGGACTAGCTTAGGTAGGACAGTCAATTAATACAGTTTTGTGAGAACACTGATTCTCTGTGAGATATAAACTATACGATAATACTGTTTTTTCTAATTCATTAGGTCAAATACAAGGATCAGAGCCACTGTTATGACCACCAATGGCTGACAGAAGAGCACAGAGACGCTTATCACACTGCTACTCATGTATTCTCTCCCAGCAAGAGCTTTGTCCACCTGGAGACCATATCTGATGAACTACGCTGTGGCCAAACTCAAACCATCCAGGCACATTATGTTCTGAATGGACAGGTCCTGAAGGAGCTAAGGGAGCTCACGTTCTATTACCTGGTGAGAAGGCAGACTATGGCACCAAGTCATCTGTAGACAAACGCTGTCTGTGGGGCAAGATTTATGAAGCTCTTGAGAAAGTCTGTTTCTCTTCTGAAAGCTTGACTCCCTACAGCAGCGATTCTCAGCCTGTGGGTCGCGACCCCTTGGGGCTCAAACGACATTTCACAGGGGTCGCCTAAGACCATCGGAAAACACATAAATAATTACATATTGTTTTTGTGATTAATCACTATGCTTTAATTATGTTCAATTTGTAACAATGAAATTGGGGGTCACTACAACATGAGGAAATGTACTAAAGGGCGCAGCATTAGGCAGGTTGACAACCACTGCCCTACAGGGTTAACTAATTCTTGCTAGCAGGGGTTCAAAAAAAATAAGCATGTCACATAGAGGGCAAGAATTGAAGTAGATCCTTTCATTGCCTTTGTCTTTTGGGGTTTTTTTTCCAGATAATGGCAAAGGGAGGCATTGTCCGAACTGGGTTTCAAGTACTGCCTGTGCAGCAGGAAGACAGTGAGTATTTTCATAATTCCACCTCATTCTGACACATTCAACCTTACACTGCAGAAATGCCAGGATTTGTTTCAAATAGAGGCAATCTACGTCTAACCCCTAGCTGGCTTGGTTCAGTGGATAGAGTGTCGGCCTTCAGACTGAAGGGTTGCAGGTTAGATTCCAGTCAAGGGCACATGCCTGGATTGCAGGCTTGATCCCTATTACGGGACGTGCAGGAGGGAGCCAATCAATGATTCTCTCTCATCACTGATGTTTCTCTCTCTCCTGTGTGTGTGTGCACACACGCGTATACACACACACACACACACACACACAAAGTATTCATGAACCACCTTTGCGGAACAACATTTCAAAATAGTTTTAATCAATGGACTGAAGGTAAAATTTGGGAGTGCTTTCTATGTACTAGGTTTTATGGTGAGGTATTTATATAGGGTGACCCAAAATATTAAAAAAATAGAATATGCTGTTCATGGAAGTTTAAGAAGGACATAAGGATAAATACAATGTGTTAAACTCAATATTATAATTCAAAGCTTCACCTTCTATTTCTCTTCTCTAATGTGAGATCTAGATCAAATGGCAACCAAGATGTCTCCATAAGCATTGATAGCATCAGAACTTTATATAAAAACTTTAAAATTGGTGAAAAATCATTTAAGAGAGAAAAGGGGACTTTTAATAAGGCTTCTTTTTCCCTAAAGCTAGAGTTCTTAGAGATATAGAGTTATTAGGGAGAGTCATCTATTTGTTACATGCTGTTTAATATATCTATTACACCTACTAATAGCAATGGTATTAACCAACCAAGCTCCTAAATGGCTTTGTGCAATAGAAAACATCCATGCTAGCCCTGGGGATATATCTAACCCGTAATCCCTTTCTCACTGTCTCTGTGCTCCAGTGAAAGGCCATTTTTCTGTGTCGGTCCCTGTGGAACCAGACATCGCTCCAGTCGCTCGATTGCTCATCTATGCCATTTTACCTGATGGGGAAGTGGTTGGGGATTCTGCAAAATATGAGGTTGAAAACTGCCTGGCCAACAAGGTGGGTGCTTCATACCATAAATTTTTCACATTAAATTAGAGGTACCCATCGTTATTATTTTCTACATGTGAGCATTGGGACCAAAGGGGTTAAATGAACTCCCACAGGACTTCAGCAAGGTAATGGCAGAGTCACATTAAGAAGCCATGTCACTGGATTCCTAGTGCAGAATTCTGATGTATTATCTCTTACCATACGATACGATTCAGAGTACCTTGTTCCCTTCTTTTTTGATGAAATGTTGGGAAATACATTTGTAAGATTACTAAAGAGCCAAAAGATAAACACAAGAGCATCTAGAACTATTTGCATTATACCTTGCAGTGAGTGAACATTACACTGTGTATCAAAGGTAAAAATGGCATCGCAAATTTAATAAGTTGTAAAAATAATTAGATATCAGTATAATGGCTTAGCTGATTCTTGGATATCAAAGCGATGTGTAGGGGACCAAAAGCCTCGGGTCTCACACAGTGCCAACCACCGCAAAGTCAAACTAAGTGCTTATGCATTGAATGTAAGCAGCACTCAGAAAAAGCAGGTGCCCCAGCCAGCATGGCCCAGTGGTTAAGCATCGACCTATGAACCAGGAGGCCATGGTTCAACTCTTGGACAGGGAACATGCCTGGGTTGTTGGCTCCATCCCCAGTGTAGAGCACGCAGGAGGCAGCTGATCCATTATTCTATCTCATCATTGATGTTTCTCCTCCTCCTTTCCTCTCTGAAATAAATAAAAATATTCTTTTTAAAAGAAAATGTTGGTGAATACATGGTTAAGTTAGGAAATTTGTTTTTCTGATCTTTCTCTCCACTTTCACAGGTGGGCTTGAGCTTCAACCCAGCAGTAAGTCTTCCAGCCTCGCCCATCAACCTGCGAGTCACAGCTTCTCCTCAGTCGCTCTGTGCCCTCCGTGCAGTGGACCAAAGCGTGCTGCTCATGAAGCCTGAGGCAGAGCTCTCCCCGTCCTCGGTGAGTTCCCTCAGCCTGGGTCGGGAAGGGCCAGGTAAACGGGTCTCCAAGCAAGAAGAAATGCCATTTTGAGTAGATAGGCAGCTCCTGCATTGAGCATCTTCCCCCTGGTGGTCAGTGTGCATCATAGCAACTGGTCAACCAGTTGTTCCGGTTGATTGGTCACTTAGGCTTTTCTATATATAGATTGCTTTGGGAAAAAATAAGCAGAAAAGGCAGATGGATAAGTGTCTAATTTCATTACTCACTTTGTTAATCTAATCAATCAATTTTAAACTCCTATTAATATAAGGCATTTTTGTATCTGTCTTACTCTTCCTTATCAAATGAATTTGAAAACATCATTTTTAGTATTTTACAGTTAAAGTTTTAGGTATTTGTAAAGATCTGGAGCATTTTGTTCCCATGAATAATACCTAAGAAAATACTACCCTGTTAGAGGATATATACTTTGTGTACCTGTTTAGAACATATGTCCATTAACTTTGTTATGCAATGAGTCAGTTGCTAACTATCAGGTAGAGACGAAGCTATCATTTTACTCTACCGTCTTAAAGCTTTGTACAATGTCTCAAATATAGCAGACCTCAATTTCTCTTAATAGTTATATTTCATTCTAGCATGGAGTCTAAGGTTTGCCTTTGAACTATGTATCAAAGTATTATGATCCTTGCTGAGATGGCAATGTTTTGGGGTTTGTTTGCTTTTCCTAAAATTGTTATTTTCAAAACCATATATAACTATGTATCAAAGTATTATGATCCTTGCTTAGATGGTAATGTTTTGGGGTTTGTTTGCTTTTCCTAAATTGTTATTTTCAAAATCATATATATATGTATGTTACCATTATGACCAAACAAACAGAATGACTAAAAAGACCAGTCGACCAGTTGCTATGATGCACACTGACCACCAGGGGGCAGATGCCCAATGCAGGAGCTGCCCCCTGGTAGTCAGTGCGTTCTCACAGCCAATCTCCCGTGGCCCCTCCCCCCAGCTAGCCAGCCCCCATCAGCCCCTGGTGCGAAACCATTAGAGACCTGCTTCTGGGTCGGGTTTTCTTATGTAGCAGAGCAGCTCCCTCAATGTGGTCTATTGAAAGTCAGCCCTTGACACAAGGGTCAGTCTTGCTCTCGTCCTCTGCCTTCCCCAGGGGCGGGCCTCCCACCTGCTGTGGTGGCAGCACAGTGGTGAGAGAAGGATGAGGGGGGAAAGAAGTGGGGAACTGTGCAGTGGTTGGGCACCAATGGTGGAATCAGCGTCCATTCCTTCTACACCTTCCCCAATGACTGTCGCCTCCTCTACCAACCCCACTGGGGCCCTCGGGCCCAGGTTGGGACAGGGAACCAGGGGTGGGTGGTGGTAGTGGACGTGGCCCCTTTCCCAGGGGGGCCAAGGGCCAGCTCCTTCCTCAGGGCCAGAGGCCAACCTCCTGCGGTCCCTCCACTTATACCCCATGAATTCATGCACCAGGCCTCTAGTCTTCTTTATAAAATATCTAAGCAATGAAGATACTCAAAAACTAATGGCAATTATTCTTTTCTTTTATCCTTGCACTTAAAAATAATAAACTTTTGCATTTGTACAGGTTTATAAGCTGCTACCAGTAAAGGACCTCACTGGTTTCCCTGGAAGTTTGAATCAACAGGAGGAAACTAATGTAGATTGTGTCAGTGACCAGATCCACATCAATGGAATCATCTATTCCCCAATGTCAAATACAAATGAAAAAGATATGTATAGCTTCCTACAGGTAAGTTCCGTCTATTGTAGATGATCAGTTCCTAAGGTTTACAAACTATCTAATTAAAGAGAAACATGCAAATTGACCATACCTCTGCTACACCCAAAAGCCAGGCTTGCAAGTCATGCCCATAAGCCAATCAGGAGCGAATATGCAAATTAAACCAACTAAGATGTCAGCAGTCATGGAGCTGAGTGAACAGGAGGCTTGGGTTGCCCCAGCAATGGAGGAAGCCAAGCTTCCCCCCTGCCCTGCCAGCCCTGAGCTCTGCTCAAGGCTACAAAGTTTCAATTATAGAAGGTACATAAATCCCAGAATTAAAAAAAAGAAAAAGAAAAAAAGGAGAGTCTGGAAGCTTCCATCAACGGGGGACTTGGCCAGCCTGAAAACGGCCCTCAGCCCCTCACCCAGGCTGGCCAAACCTCCATGGGGTGAGGGGCCCCACTGGGGTGGACATCCTCCAAGGGGTCCCACACTGCAAGAATTGTTATTTTCAAAACCATATATATATAAATAAATATATATATATATATGTTGCCATTATGACCAAACGAACAGAATGACTGAAACGACCAGTCCGCGGGAGTCTCTCCCGCCTTCTCAACAGTGCTAAGGATGTCCGACTGCAGCTTAGGCCTCCTCCCTGCTGACAAGTAGATATCCCCCAAGGGCTCCCAGGCTGCCAGAGAGATGTCTGACTGCCAGCTTAGGCCCGTTCCCCAGGGGAGCTGACCTAAGCCAGCAGGTGGACATCCCCCAAGGGGTCCCAGACTGCAAGAGGTCACAGGCCAAGCTGAGGGACCCCCTGAGTGCACAGATTTTTGTGCACCGGGCCTCTAGTTATATATTTTTTTTAAATTATTTATTTAATGCCTTCATATCATAGCTGAGGGAAATGAGACATAGAGAAGTCAAGTGACTTCTCCAAGGTCCTTATAAGTAGCAGATCTACTAATAGCAAAGAGCCAGTACTGTAACTTTTGGGACTATTAGTCAAGTTTTCTTTTTTTTACTAAAATTCATTTCCTTATTATACTTATAAATATCAAATATCCTATCTAATAATAGACAAATATAGTAATTGACCATACCTTTGCTACGCCTCCCATTGGCTAATCAGCGTGATATGCAAATTAACTGCCAACAAAGATGGTGACTAATTTGAATACTGCATGCAGGGCGGGTCAGAGCCATCCTACCTGCCCCACCTCCATCCGGGCTTGCTATTTGCCACCTGGGGCAGTGGGCGTCCCATGTGTGACCCAACCCGGGGCGGTGGGGTGGGACAGCGTGGCTCCTCTGTCACCCCAGCTTCCTCATCAAAGCTCCCCTGGGGGCCTAAGCCTTGAGTCAGACATCCCCGAGGGCTCCCTGGCTGAGAGAAGGATGTCTGACTGAAAGCTTAGGACTGATCCCCCGGGGAATGGGCGTAAGTCGACAGGTGGACATCCCACAAGGGATCCTGGACTGCAAATGAGCTCAGGCCAGCCTGAGGGATTCGCGCCCCGCCCCCACCTGAGTGCACAAACTTTTGTGCACCGGGCCTCTAGTATAAAATAATTACTGTTCAAATTGTTTTAAAAAAATGAAATTACCTCGGTAAGTATACCAATAGCCCTTCTACAAATGTAAACATTAAAAATTTAGTACTAGTTCTAGCCAGTTTGGCTCAGTGGCTAGAGCGTCAGCCTGTGCACTGAATGGTCCCAGGTTTGATTTGGTCAACGGCACATGCCCAGGTTGTGAGCTGGATCCCCAGTAGGGGATGTGCAGGAGACCACTAAACAATGATTCTCTCTCATCGTTGATGTGTTTCTATCTCCCCTTCCCTCTCCCTTCCTCTCTGAAAATAAAAAATATTTTTTTAAAAAAATTTTAAGTTTCATATTAAACTAATTGGATTGTTTATTAATTTCAATTTTTAAGAGTATGTGCCTATATATTTTATAATATTTATGTACTAATTAGGTGATAATTTTCTTCACAGGATATGGGTTTAAAGGTGTTCACCAACTCAAAGATTCATAAACCAAGAGTGTGTTCATACTATCATGCCCAAACCTTTGAGAGTTCTGAGGATGATGACGTATACGAATATTCAGGTAAAATAATAATTAATAATAATAATAAATTGTCTAATATATTGAACCAAATAAAAGGAATTATTAAAAGATAAAATGTGATTAAAATTAACCAAAATAACACTTGTGATTCAGATATATCACGGTTACATAGCAATACAACCCCAAAAATTCTGATTGCATCAAGCCCCCACATATGCAAAGCTGAAGAGATCACACGGCAGATTGTGAAAAGTGTTGAAAGACAGGGGAATATGTGCAGTATAAAAGAAGGGGTTGATTCTGATTGAGGAATCAGAAAAGCCAGTCATAAAGAATTTGTATCTAGTACATAATAATATGTGGCGTTCAAAAAGAAAGAGAAATTTTCAAGGCATAGGATCAGTGTAAAAAGAAACAGAATTGTTCACGGGTCGGGTTGCAATCTCGCCAATCAAGTGAAGAAGTTCCTAATGTCCCAATAAAATTAGGCAATATTCGTGTTGAAATCACTCACTTGTCAATGATATGGGCTATTTCTTTGATGAGTCAGATAGTAATGAAGCATTTGCTTCTAGTCTGATTGTCAAATCATGGTTGAAAACAGGTTGAGTACAAACCAAGGAGTTTGTCAAATATCAAGAAAAAAATTCGGCCTAGTTGATTTGGCTCAGTGGAAAGAGCATCGGCCTGTAGACTGAAAGGTTCAAGGTTTGATTCCAGTCAAGGGCACATGACCAGGTTGGGGGATGGAGCCCCAGTAGGGGGCATGTAGGAGGCAGCCAATCAATGATTCTCTCTCATCACTGATCTTTCTCTTTCTCTCTCTCTCCCTTCCTCTCTGAAATTAATAAAAATATTTTTTAAAGAAAAAATTCAATGATGAATTGTCTACCTGGAATTTAAATTACTGTACATTTGTATTATTATTTATAAATTATATTCTATAATCTTTTATCAGATTTATAGTTATTTATGTACAAGTATATATATATGCACAAATATTTTTCCTGTGTGCTTTGAAGTTATAGTAAACAGGATAAGAGATCCTAACTCTGAGTTTTTGAAACATAAGGAAATAAAGAGCTTTTTTTTCTTTAATCCTCACCCGCGGAGTGAAAATATTTTTTTCACTGATTTTTAGAGAGGTGGAAGGGGAGAAAGAGATGTGAGAGAGACACATAGATCGGTTGCTTCCCGCACGTCTCCCCACCAGGGCCGGGATCTAATCGGCAACTCAGGTACTCTTTTTGTAATCCTTCATCCTTTCACTCCCATGAACTGTTCCACAAAGCCCCTGCTATGATGTCTGGATGTGATTTCTCTTTTCTCCCACAGAGAAATATACCAAATGGAAATTTTGATTCCTCCCCCCTCCTACCCCCATGTCATAGAAATCTTCACTTGCACAATGTGTAGTAGCCACAGAGGACTCCTTTGTGCCCCACCGACAATCCTAAACTCTTTCTGCCTCTGTCTCTATGTTCTCTGTTTGTGATTCTCTTCCCCCACCTCACTCCTAGCTTATTTCAATAGTTAAGAATTCAGCTAAAACATTACCTTCTCAAAGAAGCTTTTCCTTAACACCCAAGTGTCTTCTCCTGGTTCCTATTTCATCACCTTGTTTATTTCTCTTGTAGCACTTATCACAGTCTCTTATAAGATTGATCTTTATATTTATTGTTTTTGTCTCCTCCCTGAGCCCTCACAGACGAAATGGCAATGAGAATCAACAGTGTTGATTTAGCAGGTGCTTCAGGGCCTGTCCCAGAGCCTGTCACAGAGACCGTGAGAAAATACTTTCCTGAGACGTGGATCTGGGACTTGGTGGTAGTAGAGTAAGTAACTTCCTTTATATATAAGATACAACAGTAGGTATTCCTCATAATTTTCAATTTTGGACACATTGCTGTTTTTAGGAGAAATTGGACATAAGTACTGCTGCTATGACACCGCACTAATAAATTGCATCAGAGCTAAGAAATTTTGCACAAATTTAATTCAAAAATGTCCAAAAAACAGGCATGAAGACTAAATAAAACCAAGCACTGCATGGATTAACACTTTAGAGAGGCCCTTTATTGGTCAGCATTCTTGAATTAAGAACAGAATCAGTAAGGCAAACTATACACAATAGTGGTAGAATTGAAAATTATAAACTCGCCCTCAAGTGGAACAATAGTTTAGAGATCAAAATTGAAGAACAATCTCAAATTACATATTTAGTTTATAACTATACTAGAGGCCTGATGCACAAAATTTGTACAAGAGAAGGCCTTCTTTCCCCTGGCTGCTGGCACCGACTTCCCTCTGACACCCAGGACCTGGGCTTCCCTCACAGAGAGAGGCCCCGTCCACCTGCCACAGCTCGTAGGTCAGTGACCTGGGCCTCCCTCTGCTAGGCGATCATTGGGCAATGGCCGAGCCCCGACCAATCCCATCGCACCCGCCTTGGCTGGCCTGGTGCAAATGGGTGTCAGAGCGTGGTCTCAGGTGGTCCTCCAAATGATCATTTCATTGTTTGGCCGTTCAGTCGATTTGCATATTATGCTTTGATTATATACGATTATATAGGATTGTTTATAATAGATTTTACTACAGCTATATATCTATAGGAGATTCTAATATAGACTAGACTTTAAAATAATTAGATTTGGAAGAAAAGGAGTTATATTATTCTATTTTAAGCCTTGCTTACACTCTTCATTATTAGTATTTCTTCTGAGTGCATCCAAATCATGACAATTTATAGGGGTTCCTAGAAAGGATTTATTTAACTGCTTACTCTCTGTTCTTCACATTGCCATCCTCCCCAGCTCATCAGGCGTGGCTGAAGTAGGAGTAAGAGTCCCTGATACCATCACTGAGTGGAAGGCAGGGGCCTTCTGCCTTTCCGATGACACTGGAATTGGCCTCTCTCTTCCCACCACTCTCCGAGCCTTCCAGCCTTTCTTTGTGGAACTCACAATGCCCTACTCTGTGATCCGTGGAGAGGCCTTCACACTCAAGGCTACTGTCCTAAACTACCTTCCCAATTGCATCCGGGTAAGGACCTCACTTTCCTAAATTGAACGCAAGGTTAATTAAATTAAAATTGCATTCCTAGGAATACTATCAAACTACTGTGTGGAAAATGTGCTTATCAGAAGAAGAGTACTATTAGATACTCATATGCATATTCATAACTATAGTTGCTGATATCTGCAAATACCAGATTGCAACTTAAAAGAAGATTCTGAGTCCCTTTTTTTTCCTTTCT